AAAGCTTTTAAAATTTCAGACTTTTACAACCTGGGGTTCAGGGGAAAACCGACATCAAAAATTTGGAATAATAGGATTTTATATAACTTTAAATTTTAACGGACATTTTGTTTTTTTAAAGTTTAAGTATAGTATGCCGTGAAAGAAGAAGCAAGCCACTGCCTTTTTGTGTTTGCAAAATTTGCAAAATACATATGGTTCTGCTACAATATAGTTGAAAAAGAAGCATTTTTATGGCTTTGGGGGGGGGGGGGGGAGATAGGTAAAAATATGTTCTACGAAAATTAGTTAATAGTAAAGATCTATGTACATATAAAATTTCAGGTTTCTATCTGCAATGGTGTAGAAGTTTTGTAAACAGACACACGGACAGACGGACGGACAGTGTGAAACTAATAAGCACTTTATTTCAAAACTTTTTTAGAAAAGTGCTAAACCAAATAACAACAAGACAACAAATGTATATCAACTACGCTAATTCAAAAATTACGCAAGTGTACTCAAAGGTAACACAAACAATAAACAATCTAACGTAAAAGATTTAGATATTGTGATTATAATGATACTAATATTAATAACAAATTACTTTTAGAAATAAATAATAAATTAGACTTTATCAACAGGCAAACAAAAGAAAATACTAATAACACACGAAAACTTTTCGAAATATTAGGACTTAATGTACAAATATGAGTACACGCACAAATAATGGTATATTACAGATAATTTCTGCTAATGTCATTAGTATCTTACAATAGGCGACTATTTCTAACTAATTTCCTCCAAATATAGCAACCGGATATAATATGCATTAACGAAACATGATTACAAAAAAAGCATCACATTACTATAAAGGATTGCATTTTAGTAAGAATCGACAGAGATTCTGAAAATTGCAGGGGTAAAACGGCAATATGCATTAAAAATAATATTACATTTAAGGTAATCGAAATTGCGAACTTTCGAAATTTTAAATGTTTAGAAACAACTATAATAACTTTTCTTTCTTTTCTGAAAATCACTGTTTATGCATCGACAAAAGATAAAGAAAAATTTATTTGGGAGTTTCAAAAAATCTTCAGAGAACTATTTAAACAATTTCCTCGTATTGGCTGGTGATTTAAATGCAAAGCATAGGGCCTGTCTTAATGAGCATAACAACCAAAGGGGAAAAAATCTTTACAACTGGCTTAATTAGAGTGCAATTACGTACAAATGCCAAATTCACTTATCTAATACATCTACATATCCTAGAAAATTCATATCCTACAAATTCGTACTTGATAAGTTAATCAGATAAAAACTTTACTTTACGATGCTTACTATAAGGCCATATACATAAAAATTGAGATCCCAAGTGTATATAATTTGAATACTGAGGATTATGATGATGATAAAGTCTATGTGTATTGTAGGACAAATTGGAAATCTTTAAAAAAAAAATGAGATAACAACTTCAAGGCAGAATACTCCAATGAATTATTAATATCCAAAATTAAAAATCTGCTCATACCAGAAATAGATTGTCATTATGATAAGATAGAGAAAATTATCCAAAAGAGTATTAACGAGGCTATACCAAAAAAAGGATGTAAGGACATTTTAGCTTAAACTGCAACGAGAAAACTTAAAAAACTCTAAAAAGTAAAGTGTAAATTATTGCACGACATTAATGTATTATACAAAAGAAACTTAAATTTTTCGGCAAATGAACTGAACACCCTTAAGGGTTTATTAAAAAATGTAAAAACACTAATAAAACAACAAGTTAATGTCGAATTGAATAATTACTGGGAAAAGATAATAAAAAATATAAAACCACCCAACAGAAATATGTTCGCCAAAATAAATAATTCGTTCGGGCCGAAATAGCAAATTAGTGTCAAAAACATTATAATACATAATAATGATAATATTATATTAAATAGGACAGGAATTGATACTAATAGGTTAATAAATATTTGTAACTTCCTTGGAAAAAAATAAGAAGAAACGAACAACACAGTGGATACCTACAATTAATTTGAAAAGACAATAGAATTCGAAATTTTGAAATTTTGAAAAAGACAATTTGAAATTTTGAAAGACCGCAGCCCGAAAAAGAATAAAAAATAAAGCAAAACTTCAATTTTCTATTGAAAACAAATCCTCAAGTCCACCTCAAGGCGATTTTTCATTAAGAAACCCAGTAAAGATCCTACAGACCAAGGCAAGGTATATGCAAGTATAATTAACGATAAAATAAATAAAAGAAATTAATACTGAAAAGCAAAATATCTGATAAAAAATTTGGGTTCAGATTCAGGCATAGCGCAGTTCATGCAACAACCAAATTAGTTTCAGATACATGCTGGCTAATAAACGAAATGAATGCAGTCGGTGCCTGCTTTATAAATTTGGAAAAAGCCGTCAATAAAGTATGGATCAATTGTCTAATACATAAACTGAAAGTAATGGTTCTTCTCGTAAAACTCCTAGAACTCGTTGCTAACATGATATCTGAAGGTAAAATTATACTAAGCTATGGTAAAAACCTACAGAGAGAGTAAAACCCCTCATATTAAAAGTGGTTTACAACAAGACACAATAAACTCTTCGGCTTTGTTTTCTTTATACTTTCTTTTTGAATATATAAAGGGAACAAGCTACTCCATAGCACTTGCTATGGTATAAAAACTAAAAATCAACTGTGAAAAATGTGAAATTATAATAGCAATGTCTATAACATTAACAATAATGATGATAATAATAATGATAACAATAGTAATAATAATAATAATAATAATAAAAATAATAATAATAATAATAATAATAATAATAATAAAAATAATAAAAATTTCAATTTTCTATATCTATACACCACACTCACAACCTACCCAACGCTCGCTTATTCGCCTACTAACTTTGTAGATCCGCTAACTTCCTCGATCGTTCGTATGACCAAAAGGTCCCTTGAAAATGGCGATAGTACTTACATACTATCTCGCTTCAGATCGTGTAGATGGTTCAAGTAGCTTTCGTAACAACAATAACTTGGTCCAATTAACTGGTGTTGGAAATAGTATGACAGAGACTATGAAACAACTTTCTTAGTACTATCAAAATGTTCGTGGACTAAGGACTAAAACTAACACCGTTCTGTTTAACTCTTATCTTCTTGAATGTGATTTTTATGTCCTAACGGAAACTTGGTTGTCCCCCTGCATCAATAACCTTGAATTATTCAACTCTTCATTTTCTGTTTTTAGAAAAGACCGACATGGCCTTTTCTTGCAGAGACACACACCAAAGGCAGGTGGGGTATTAATCGCCGTTAAAAACTCGTTATCAGCTAGTATTATTGACATTCAAGACTCCGATGACCTTGAAATCGTTGCAGTAAAAATTAAGCTGAATTCCAAAACGCTTTTCTTAGTTAATTGCTGTATAGCGCCTAACTCAAGTAATGAGTTATATGCAAAATTTTCTTCGGCAATTGATTATGTATGCAATTCTCTTAACCCGGAGGATGAGGTTTTTGTTTTCGGAGATTTTAATCTTCCCAAATTTAGCTGGATGACTCATGATGAGAAATCATTTTTATTGGCAATTGACTGTTCTAGTGAGTTGGAGTTCTATTTTATAGATGCCTTTCATCTAAATAATTTGCAACAAATATCCTCAATAATAAACCATCAATCGAAGCAACGGGATCTAGTTTTTACTTCCAATTGATATAATTGTTTAACTATAACTGTTCCAGATCGGTTGGTTAACGTTTACATCTAACATCCTCCAATATCTTTCTCTTGTTGCATTGACGACCAACCATCTATTGACGAGCCCCTTTTCTATTGTTTTTATTTTAAAAGGGCAAATTTCGCATTGCTAAATGATTTCTTTCTTCCTGACGACTTCTCTTCAGTATTTAACTTAACTGATATTGAGTCTATGACGGGTAAGTTTTGTGAAATGATTTTTGCTGCATTTGAATTTGTTTGACTACTTTATCTATAAAACTTCGGATAACTTAATACGTAATCCCAAAATCTTTTGGAAGTTCATAAACCATAAGAGGAAAAGTGATAGTTACCCAACCTTCTACCCAGAAATTCGGCGAGAATACAAGTAATAATTCCCAAATTATTTCCGAATTTTTTTGTAACTTTTTGGCCGAATCTTACTCTTTTTCATCTTTTCAATAAAATGTTGGCGACTTTCGGCACAATGATAACTACCCTAAAACTACCTTTACAAACTTTGTTACGAACTCTTTTGTGGTTGGAAAATATCTCTCTAATTTGGGTTCTAGTCCTTCTCCTGGACTAGATGGAGTTCCTGAGATTAGTTTAAGCAGGTGTTGCTCTTCTCTAGCGCCCATCTTAATCGTAATTTTTAATAAGTCTTATTCTTCGGGAATTTTTCCTTCCGTGTGGAAGGAAGCTTTCATTAGGCCAATCCATAAGTAAAACATTAAAAATAACGTGTCAAACTACCGTCCTATAGCTAAACAATCCGCAATTCCTAAGGTTTTTGAGTTAATGGTATATGACAATATTTATTTCCATTGTATGCATCCATGGAAAAGAATCCATTGTATGCATAAGAAATCCATGGTGATTAAGCCTAGTGGAAGTGAGACAGTTTTCTCAGATAATATGTAAAATTGGTATCAGGCAGATGTAATTTACATAGACTTTAGCAACGCCTTTGACATACTACCGCATGAAGTTAATATGTTAAAATTGAAACTCTTAGAATGCCCTGACAACTACTTAGCCTGGATAAAGTCATATCTCTCTGGTGGGACTTTCAGAGTCCTCTTTCGTTCAGCAATTTCTTCGCCTCTCTCGTCTAATTTTGGTGTTCCCCAGGGCAGTCATTTAGGTCGACTGCTGTTCTTATGAATTCAATTAATGATATTGTTTCCATGTTAACGCACAGTGAGGTATTAAAATATGCTGATGACAAGAAAATTTTCAAAAAAATAATCTCTGCAAATGATGCGATGTATCTTCAGAATGATCTTAACCGCTTCTATGGGTGGTGTTCATGTAATAACCTGAAAATCGATGTAAGTAAATGTGCACAAATGTGCGACTCTAGGCAAATACGGCCACTTTTTACCAGCTATACTTTGAATGGCCAAACTCTTGCGAGTTCATTCAATAATGGACATGAATGCCTGCTTCGATAGCAAGTTATCATTCATAAATCACTACAATCATATCATATGCAGATCAAGCTCGACGTTAGGTTTCATTAAGCACTGATCAAAGGAGTTTAATGATCCCTATATGTTAAAATCACTCTATACATTCCTGGTCCGTCCTCATCTTGAATATGATTCACAAGTATGGTCACCCTGTTACGGTATACATATTAATAGTCTATTCAAAAAAATTTTTAAGATTCGCACTGCGTCTTCCTCCTTAGGAAGACTCCATCATTCTTCCATCTTATGAACACAGGCTCAAATTAATTGACTTACCCACTCTGGGCAAAAGACGTGATGTTGCGGATTTGTTATTCATTTTTTCGCTTATGAAAACTGACTTAATCGCTCCCGACATTTTGAGTAAAACTGTGAATAACTCTAACTTTAGGTTTCGTTCCCCTGATCTTTTCTTGGTCACTTTTCATAGGACAATTATGGGAAACATCAACCTGTCAGCAGAATGCTACAATTATGCAACAAACACAGACTTGACTTTGCACTGAAGAAAGACACGATAAAAGAGCTTTTATTTACTTATAGTTAAGTAATGTCTTTATATCTAACAAGTCCCAATGCTCAGAGAGAAACTTGAAAGCACATCTTATTTTATATGGCCTTTTTTAAATCGAAGTGGCTATTTTTTGAGAAGAAATATTAAAATAAATTCACACTTATTATAAAGCAGGTAAAATTTAGAACATATATTTGAAAAATCAAAAAAATATATTAATACTAGGGGCCCCTGTGGTTTGCTTTTTTATTATTATCTGTTGTAAAAACAGGATTGTGGGAATCAATTTTAAAATAAGTTTAGAAAAATTTGTACATATTATGGCATACATATGCAGGTATATACTTGTATATGCATAAATATCATATTGGTTTGAATACTAATGATAAATAAAAGTAATGGAAATATTTGTAATTTAATAAATTTTAAGATGTAATATGTGTCACTGTTAATTACATAGATATGATTAAAATTCAATTTAAGAATTAGTTAACAATTAAGAACGAAAAATTTCCTTATAAACAACGTTATCTGTTAAAATATTTCCATCATCGATTTTTCCCTGACGAACCGTATCTTTGACTTGAATTTTTAAAGAATTCTGAATTTTTAAAGGAGTCTATGGCTCTTGAACATGCTGTGTATAATTGCCCATGCGAAAAGCACGGCTGGGGGAGATAGAGGCCAACTTTTTCAAAAGTTTGCTCTTGGGACTTATTTATAGTCATGGCATATGCAAGACGGATGGGGAACTGATGTCGAACAAAATTAAAAGGAAAGGAAATAGTACCTTTCACGTTAAGCTTTAAAACCAAAGTGAATGTGAATTAATAAAAAATCAATGCCTCTTTTCTTCATGGAAACCTGGCTTTTCTTTTTTTACCTGGCTTGGCTACTTACTCAATTGAAATTTCGCAAGCACACGAAGAATAATTGCCTTAGTACGTAACGTAACGTTATTCGTATTCTTATATCTCTCACAATTTTTAGTTTTATTTTTTTTAATTCCATTTCATGTTAAATACAACAACAAAAAATTATTTTACTCTTACTTAACTCATTTAAAATATTTCGCTTCCTTTTGCTTTTTATTTTTGTTTAAGTAAACTAAATTTTGTTGTAGTAAAGCAAAAAATCAAAAAAAATATTACTACTCTTTTTTTATTCTCTTTCGCTTTTCGCTTTTCATTTTTTGTTTTTGTTTTACAGTATGTATAATCAATTGAGTAATGTAGATACTTTAGTATTCTCTTTTGCTATTTTCATTTTTTTGTTTTTGTTATTTATTAGATTATATGTATACCTGTTCATGAACTGGAAAAATCTTGTAAAATATAATATAGATTTTCATTGATAATTATTTTAAAATTTAAAAAAAAGCGGAAAAACAACAAACACAACCTTCGCCTTCAACGTTTTATTTGTTACTGAAAGCATTTCATTATTTTTAAGTGAACAGCTTTTTTTTCTCATAGGGTAAGTTAACGCAAGATATGGGAAGTACCTGTGGTGTCAAGTTGAAAATATAATTAATGAAAGATAATTCTTAAATATTGATATAAATACATAATAAAGAAAAAATTTGAAGAGGGAATTAGAAAATAATATCTAAAATACAATCAAATATTATTTGTTAAATACAAATTTTATATAAACTTCAAAATTTTACCTCTATTTTTATTTGAAAAAATATTAAAAACTTACTATCATTTATATCAATTAATTAAGAAAAAAAAATATTTAAAATGTTTGGAAAAAACAATCATATTTTTATGACCGTATTTGAATATTTTTCTATTTTTGGAATAAATGGTATTTTACCAAATGACTCGAAAATTCCGACTGTAAAATAACAGGTATTTTAAAATTTTTGTTCAGGTATTTTAATATGCAGGGACATTTTATAAATAGATTGCTCTTGTTTACCTGCTAATAAAATATGAAAAAAGAGCACAGCAAAATTTTTGAAGCACTCAATATAACATGTTTGAAATAGTTTTAAAATAATTATTTAAAAAAAAATTTATTGGAAGTAGGTACATACATATTTATTTTTAATAATTTAAAAACTAACTGAAATTATTTGAAACAATTTTATAAGTAACGTATGAATAATCGAAATGAGATAATTCAAATTGTTGAAATGTGTCAACCTATATTACTTTTAATAACATTTTTGTTAGCCGACACTACTCAACTTACCTTATTGGGAAATACAAAATGTGCATAAAAAATCATACATCCTTCCTCATTAACATTTGAAACCATACTGAAATATGAATTTGAAATTTTTTTTCATTTTTTCTTTCCTCCTACCTTTCTTTCTTTTTCGTGCAATAAATTTAAATGGGAAGCTTTTTAAAAAATGTGTATAATATCCTGAGATTTTTTAAAATACTAATCTCTTTTTTACGTAAAAAAAAAGAAAAAAATAATAAAAAGTATGACACGATCAGTGGCATTTAAAGAAAAAACCAACAACGTGGCCAAAAATTCGTAACATTTCGTAAAAAAAATTGAGTATTGGGACTTGTTAGATATAAAGACATTAAGTTAAGTATAACGTTTTTCTTTATTTTAACAAATTTTTGTTTTAATTTTTCCTTGTTTATATTCATATTTAATGGAGTATTAATACTAATAAGTTTTATTTTGTATGATTTTTATATTTAATTTTAAGTCAAAAATTTGTTCTGTCTAAAAAATATGTATCTGTGTATGTATTCTTTAATTTTAAGTTATAAAAAATTTTTGAGCTAAACATAAATAAATAAATATACAAACACACATATATCCTTATGTAATAACATGCAATCGTTTTAAAATTATTTTAAAATATTAAATATTCAATTCAAACGGGATTTGTTGCTCCACAGTTTTTCATATATCTAGATGCGAATAAATATATTCAAAGTCAAAGTCATGTTCCCCTACTATTTCACTATAGTAGGAGAGCTACATGCAAGACTATCGATTTTAGCCCGAAAACCATACAGGAAGAGGACCTGTTGTTCAGTACGTATATGAAACAATAAGATAGGGAAATTAGAAGAGGGTGTTGGTGGCTTGAAGGCACATTTTAAAAATAGTATGAACTCAGATTTGTAGCATTTTTTAGGGTCAGTGCATAGTTTAGGTTAGGTAGGTGTAGGTTTAGGGTTTTATTTTAACTACAAGAAGAAATAGTTTTGGGTTCTTTTTTCGATTTTTTACTTCGAAATGTAATATTAAAATTTAATTCTGTTATATTAAATTTATATTTATATTTCTGATACATTGTTCAATTTAAATTGCTACAATGTTGACAAAGTAAAATAAGTAGTCTTAAAGTTAATGAACATATCACTACAAAAATATAACCAAGCTGATTTTTTTGTACTTTTTTGTAAGATGTAAATCAAAAAAAGAAAACAATTAATAAAAAATAAAAAAGTATTTAAAAAAAAAAAGGAGAAATCCCCAGAATCAATTATCCTTGATATTGTGATCAAATTTTTAGTTTTTTGTGACAAATGTTTTGCAGTTAATGAAAATCCTAAAAAATAGCATAAAAATTTAAGCGCTAATTCTATTTGGAACATACTACAACTCTAGAATTTGTTATAAAACCTCCAAATTTTAATTTTAAGCCATTAAATCGCTGTTACTGCGAATTTCACTTAAGTTTATTAGTGACATAATTTGAAATATAGCCTTTTTACTATATAATATATAATATTATATTCGTAATTATAATCAAGTTTTAATATACAGGGTGTTTTTTGCATAAGGTGGCAAATAATAGGGATACTTCTTTGATTCTTTAAAAAAAAAAAATAACAAAAATTTTCGAGAAATTTAAAGTTTTAAAAAAAAAATTATGTCAATAAGATGAATAAAGAGCAATCAATCGCCTGTAAAACAAGCTTCTGATGGTTACTCTATAGCTTCTACTCTATACCTTCATTTTGAAATAGGCTGTAACTTCAAAACGAATAGAACCATTTCTGAAATTTGTAAGAATTATGTTTACATTTGATTTGGTTTGTAGCCTTCAGAATGAATAAATGATTTTTGGCAATTTGAAACTCTAGGCGTAATTGAGATAAATAATTTTGGCCATGTGTGTATTTTCGAAAATAGCAAAGAAAAATAAATTTGAGTTGTAAAGAAAATTGCGAAAAGCAAATACCTTTTAAAAAGAAGTACATTTTGCCAACTCTACAAAAAAAACTTTGGGTTAACGAGTAATAAGAGATAAGGAAGTTACAATTTTTTTTAAATTTTTTTAATCGGACTGGATTAATTTTACAATTTGTTTAGATAATACAACGATATTTTAAGCAATTTTTTAAATTTACTTTATTATATCCGCATAAATAACTTTGTTCAAAACACGATAATTCGTAAAATAGACATTGCTCTACTTTTAATACTCGTACATCACATTAAATAAATTTATATCGAAATCTTTAAACAGAAACTGTTATCAGACTGAGTTATTTTCCAGGTGTGTCGGGATCAATTACATATTGTTATAACAATGTCCCCTATCGGAGATGCAATGAGAGTGCGAATTCAGAAATTCCCATCAATTATAAATTGCTGCACTATAGATTGGTTTGAAACTTGGCCTGAAGATGCATTAGAAGCCATTTCAACGCGACTTCTCACCGGGGAGGATTTAAGTGAAAATGAGAGAAAGGCTTCCACAGAAATGTGCTTGTACTTTCATTCATCAACTCAAAATCTTTCAGAAAGGTTTGCGATACGATTGAAAAGATATGCATATATAACTCCTTCTTTATATCTTGAAGCGATAAATACATTTAAATTTCTTCTATCTACTAAAAAATGGTAAATATTTGTAAATTTTACTTGTACTTTTTTACTTAGCTAAGTGTTTTATTTCACAGCAAAATTTTAAATGAAAGAAATAAGTATCTCGTGGGTATATCACAATTGGAAATTGCAGGACAACAAGTAAATGCTATGCAAGAGCAACTTCAAGCTCTGGAACCTAAACTAAGAGTTACTGCGGAATCGGTAAGCAGTGTTCCCACTCGGTAAAAATAAAATGCATCCAATTTCTAGAAAAAAATGTATCCAAAATGTATCCAACCTCTGAAAGTAGAACTATTATACCAAGTCGTCTTATTTTGTAAAAATTAACTCATAATTAATATTAATTTGCTTTATTCAACAATGAGAGTTTTATAATGTATAGTAAATTCTTTAAGAAATCACATACAACTTCTATTACATTTTTAATGTAAAAGTTAATGTCAGAAAATACATACATATGTATATGTTCTTTAGTTGTTGAACTATGTGGTAAAGACGATTTACTATGAAAACGGGCAGATTCAAATATCGAATAATTATTTTGTTTTCAATTAGCTTAACTGACGAATGGAGCTTTCTTTTCTCAAAGTATAGTTTTAAAAATTTTATGAATTTTTAAATTTTTATTTATTCAGAAATACTACACGCACACTACCTAGTACAGAGTTTAATTTTATCATTTATATTTATATTGATCTTAAAAATTTTAAATACCACTTTAGTGAAACTCAAAACACATATACAAATTAATATACTATTGATGACAATTATGCAAAGTATACAAAAGAAAAAAATAAAAACAAAAAAAAAATAAAGTTGGGTCAAACCAATGGTTTGTATTGTTGCACTTTTCCCTTCAACAAGTAAAAATTCTGCTTTTAAAAACAGTCTATGTTATTATATTAAAATTATTTTCATTCATATACAAAACTATTTCTAGGATTGTATATATTTAGGATGATGCATATATGCAGTCTTTGAAATAAAGCAAAAATTAATATAAAGTGGGGTTAACATAATGCTCGATTTTAAGGTTTAATTGTGTGATTTAGGAGAATAATTATATTTTTTTATGTCATGGAATTTACCGTTAGCTTTTTGCGTTTACAGAAATTTGAAAAAGCTTGCGGTTTCGGAAATTTAAGGCGTCAAAAATTCAAATTTTACAAATTTCAAGAGGCGATAACTACAGAGGGGGTGGAGATGGAAAAAAATTTTCTTCCAGCGAAATGAACTATTTGTTAATAGTAGGTATTGGGTGTCTTTGTGCTGTGAAAAAAACAGCCCATATCGCACGCCTCAATTTCACTTTCTTATTTCCTGGTAAAGGTAGATGACCTGTTAAAGTGTGTCATGACCCATGTACATATGAATGTACGAAGCTGAGGTGGCCAGGTCAATGAACTATAAAGTAGGTCAAAGGTTGCAAAGCAAGTTGTTTACTTGTTCGACTTCAGCGCACTTGAGACTTTGCATGATTTGTTTACATGCGAGTTTCCTTTGCCGGAGTTGTGCAGCAGATAAGGAAATTTAAATTAAATATTTTAAAAATAGTATTAGGTAATCAGAAATATCAGAAGGTACGTATTTTTAATTTTACCTTGATAGTAAAAAAGGAAAAAACTTGTTATATTTACATTGAGGTACCTATAGTTTTTATTTTCCTTCTACCTTAGTTCTTGTTATTGTAGCTAGTTGCTTGCGCACCGCATTGTTTTTGTTTTTACTATGCATAATTAAGAAATAGCAGGAATGTCTTATTGCTTACTTTTGCATAAGAAAAACAAGATGCATGAAATTTGTTGTTGTTGATGCAAATAGTTGCGTTGAAAATAAAAGCAAATTCTTGTTTTCATTTTCTTTGATTGTACTTAAATACAAAAAAAAAAAAAAAAAAAAAAAACTGGTTAATCAAAAAAAGTCTAGTTGTTAATACATTACGCATTTGTATTTTTCTTAAAGTAGAATGTTCTATAGAACGTATATACCTATAAATTACAAAACACATTTTTTTTTTCACTTTTTCTTTAATATAATTATATATAGTACATATTTGTTTTTGGAATCTTTCTTTAAATATTTTTTTTTCAATGACTACAGGTTAGAATTGCAGATATCACTGGTTCAAATATTTGTATACGTCTTTGAAACCGGTTCCTATCTCCTGCAAGTTTTTCGTATATTCCTTTTCGAGCAATTCTGTAAGCAAAATCCCAGCATACATATAATGAATTTTTAATTTCAAGTTTAAGTGAACTTTTGTTTTCATATTTTTATTATGTAGTTAATTCAGTATTTTTTCCTTTATCAAATGTATGTAAATGTTTATTGCGTTTTTTACAGCACATCTTAATTTTTTAATTCCATTATGTGCAGCAATAGGGCATAAAGACTTATAGTTTTCAATTTGTAATAATGATGGAATACTTTCAGTTAAATCCTCTATTTTGGAGTTGTCAATGAATTGTTGTAAGAATACCTTTTTTTGAATGCCCTTTACATAAATCTTTTCAGCTGATTGTAAAATTTGCTTAATAATATGCGGTACTTGTGAATATTCTATATTTCCGCTATTCCACTTTAATCCATTTATATTATCTTCACAATATTGAACATTATATTTTGATTTTTGGGTAAGTTCGTGTTCAGGGTATGGAGATTTAAAATAATACAAAAGTAGTGTTTTTCATTTCCTTGTACAAATTGAAGGTCGACAATAAAAATCTGCCCGCTCATATTGAAAACAAGTGCTTGTCCTCAATGAAAGTTTAAATGGAAATAAAAGTACTGAAGAGGTTACTAGGTTTATATAATATTTTGACCAATTGACATGTTTTATGTTATAAGTATACGTAGGTTACAAGATCAATTTTTATTTTCATTATGTTTTTTCACCCATTTACAATGATGGTGGCCGGTCCATCGTGCTGTGGGAAAACCACTTTTATACATAATCTATTAAAAAATAATAAAGACAATATAAAACCTTGTGTTGAAAAAATAATTTGGTGTAATCCTGATAAAAATGCTATTCCCAAAAATATAGAACGGCTTGAGCATTATGTTACTGTTCCAGACATAAATGATATTCATGAACCTATATTAATAGTATTAGACGATATGATGTTAAGTACACAGGACAAACGAATATGTGAGTTATTTACTAGAGGTTCACATCACAGAAATTTGTCTGTAATTTTTGTAACACAAAATCTATTTTATCAAGGAAAATTTTCAAGAGATTTTTCATTAAATTGTAAATATTTAGTACTTTTCAAAAACCCTAGAGATAAATCACAAATATTACCTTTGGCCAGACAAATATATCCGAATCAGGTTAAAGAATTCGAAAAAATATATAATGAGGTAACATCACAACCATATGGACATATATTATTAGATCTCACTCAAGAAGTCAACGATCTTTTTAGATTAAGAAGTGATTTGTTTGGTCTAAATTCATGTTTTTGTACAAAAGATTAGTTAGAGCAATTAGCACAAGAATATGAGACGTTTGAAAACCAATCGACATATATTGCACCTTTTAAAAAAAATCTAAACCAAGGTTTCAAAAAATAATAATTAAGCATTGTGAACCAGAAGTAATAAAAACATTTTGTGAAATAGCTTTGAATATAAGGAAATTGAAATCTTAAAAGGAAATTGTAGTCTTAATAAAAAAATAACGAATCAACTAAGGAAGTATAAAAAAGAGTTACGGGCGTTAACCTCCAATAAAAAATCTATAAATAATAAACGAAAAATAATTATTCAAAAAGGGGGATTTTTACCAAGCCTTCTTGGAGCCATATTGTCTGGAATAATAGGACGTTTAAAAATGAATAGCGCAATGTTTAATAAAATGGTAATAATAAAACCTGAAATTTATGAAAAACTAAAACAAAATTCTGATGTCGAGCTAAATGAGTTAAATAAAAAGATGAAAAATATTCTACTGAATAAAAATTTGACTGATATCCAAAAGTGGTATTCAAAACCTGTTTAAAATAAGGAACAAAAGTAGAACTGTTCCCCAAAACATTACAGCACAGTCGTACGAGCCCAAACTTACAGAAACAAAGAGTACTCAAATTCGTCCAAAAACTGCTTTTAAAAACACAGACACCCAAACGAATTTTGTGGAATTTCAGGATGCTAAAATACAGTTCCCCGAGGAGGAAATATTCGAAAAAAAAACCAGACGATGTATTTGATAATGAATTGCATGAAAATGTTTTTACGACAGCGCTTTCTGCTGCATCAGCTGGTGAACGTCTTAGAAAACGTAAGTCTATCAGAAATCAAAATTTTTAGATGTATGAAACAGAAAATGGAGATATTATAACAGTTCCTTTAGACAGTCCTAGTCCTCCTCTGAAAAAAGAAAAAACTATAAATACCGAAAACTTAAGCAATTCTCAAAAACGTGTTTTACGTTCTGCTAAAACAGGTGACACACAAACACAGCTTGATTTTCCCATACGTGAAAGTAAATCGACAAGCACATGGACAACTTACAGTCACTTTACTAAGTGACTCGTCCATTAACTACTATTCTGAAAACACTACTATCCTTTTACTAATAAATTAAATAAACAGTTTGCCCTTGATGAAAAATGGAAAGTTGGAATTTCACAAGTGTATGTAAATGATTATGTATCACCCATTTACGGAGAAAACGACAAAAAAGAATTGCAATCACGATTGGAAGTACAGAAAAAAAATATGAAAACATATGTAGGTACAACTTATATTCCATATAGGAAAGAACAAATCAATTGTGATTGGAAAACTTTTGTTTTACCTACACTCATAGAAAATATAGAACCGGATGCAGGATATACAAAAAAGGAATGTGAGCGTCAACTTATATGGCAAATTTTTTGGGTATATTTCAAGGAACTCAAGTTACATGAAATCTGGAGAACCAACTGAATACACTGGTCAAGTGGTTAAAATATGTGTCAGCGATCCAGAAGTTGACATAAAAATAGGTGTAAAAACCAATTGGTCAACTGATGTTTTTATCAAAGAATGTTTTAATCAAATTTTAATAAAATGCCCCGATTTTAAAAAATATAAAGACAGAATTGTGCAATTGTACAAGTTTTATTTAGAAATCTTATATTTTATACCAGTAAATAAATCAGATATTATGTTTGTATACAGTGACATTATAGAACCACAAATTGTCAGTGACA